ATTAAACCCAGGGTGATTGTGGCTCTTGCTGGGCCTTCAGTGCCACTGGTGCTTTGGAAGGCATGCATTTCAAGAAGACGGGGAAGCTGGTCTCACTGAGTGAACAAAATCTTATTGACTGTTCTGAGGAGAATTATGGGTGTGGCGGTGGATTAATGGAGCTAGCTTTTGACACTGTGCGGAAGGAAGGTGGGATCAATTCAGAGAAAAGCTACCCTTATGACAGACAGGTAATAAATAGTTGAATCTGTGTATCTCCCGGTCCATTCCTTCTGCATGCTTCAAGCTGAATTGTTCTGCTCTATGTCTCTAGCTGATAACGCCTCCAGCAATAGGATGGAAAAGGCTTGAGTCATGGGTGGAGACAATTACTATTAAAGCCCATCAACCGCAACATTTTCTTAGGATCACTGTTTTCTTCTGCAGAAAGGGGAGACTTGCCGCTATGATCCCGAGGAATCTATCACCAGATGTAATTCATATGGAATGATCATGAGAGGGGATGAAAAAGGACTTCAGGAGGCTGTGGCCAAAATTGGTCCAGTTTCTGTTGGAATAGATGCTGGGAGTAGCAAATTTAGCTTCTATAAGTCAGGTACGTTTCCCGAGAGCTCTCACAGTTGACCTTGTGCTTCTTGCTATCTCCTTTGTCAACTAATCTTCAACACTGATGAGGCTATACTGCATCTAAGTATTAAGGGGTTATGTTGTTGTTTTCAAAATGGTGAGAACAAGGAGAGCTTTTCATTTATTTCAGGTCAGCTTATGGAGCTTTTTCTGTTAGGTTTGCTGATTTGTTTTGAAGACTTTGCTTTGATAGGTTAACATGGTGGCACAATGATTGGAATGCAGGCTGACTCTGGCGACTGCCAGAAGATTGATTCTCACTGGCTCAAAGTTGACTCAGCCTTCCATCCATCTGAGTCGGTAAAATGAGGACCCAGATTGTTGGGGAAAATAAGCTGACTCGGTAAAGCACTTAGAAGGGCTGTAAACACTGTGAAGCAGACAAAACAGGAAAGGGGAGCGGAGATAAAGAGTCCAGTTTCCAAGGTACGCCAGAGTGGGAGGCCAGCCAACCAGAGAGCTTCTTCCCCGTCTTCCCAGGAGAATGGGACGTCTTGCGACCAGGCCCTGAGCTCCCTTGCAGTTTGTTCTGCTGCTGGAGGATGGGCTGCAACTGTTCTGTCTTGGCCCAAGCCAGCTCCTTGCATCATCTCCAGGTGCTGGTACCTGGCCTTGCACTCCTGCATGTCTTCCCTCTCCTTGGAAACCTATGCTTATAGTCCTCAGTAAGGTTCATCTGCTGAGTTTTCTTCCCAGTTAGATCCAATTTGAACTGAGCCAGATGTTTTGCAAACTCTTTCTCCTGGGGGCTGCTTAGCTCCAACAACTGCTTCCTGTTGGGGCCCTAAGGAGCCCAGGTAGGCAGGCAAGGAGTGTCTGGGTTGGGGGAGTAGAGGCCAGCGAGGTGCCCTTCGACGTGACATCAAGTTGGCCGTGCCCACCAAGTCATGTGACCACCTAGCCACATCCAGACAGCCAGTCATTAGGCAGATCATATTAGTGGTCCATGGGATTTTTAAATTATGAATTTAGTGGTCTCTGAGGTCCGAAAGGTTGGTGACCCCTGCTCCAAAGCACCTGAGGGCAATACAAGAAGTAATGGATGGAAACTAAGAAGCAATGTAGAACTAAGAAGAGATTTCCTGACAATAAGAACAGTTAATCAGTGGAACAGCTTCAGAAGTTGTGGGTGCTCCAACACTGGAGGTTTTCAAGAAGAGATTGGACAGTTGTTTGACCAGTATGATGTTGGCTCTCCTGCTTGAGCAGAGGTTGGACTAGAAGATCTCCCAGGTGCCTTCCGTTTCTGTTATTCTGTCTCCTTTAACATCAGTGGCTGACATGCCTATATAGGACTGTGCACCTTTGGTCCCCTTGAGTTAATAGAAAACAGAATAATACAGTCGGAAGGGACCTTGGAGGTCTTCTAGTCCAACCCCCTGCTCAAGCAGGAGACCATTTTTGACAAATGGTTATCCAATCCCTTCTTAAAGGCCTCCAGTGTTGAACCACACACAACTTTTAAAAGCAAGTTTTTCCATTGATTGATTATTCTTACTCTCAGGTTGATTTAATAAAGCTAGTTTGACTGGGGTCCCTTCAGACGGTTGGATAAATTTTTAAGGTTCTTCTTTGAAATACAAAAGAGGTGACTGGGGGCTTCAGAAAAATCTCTATTTGCTCAGGCCACTGAGATCTCAACCAGAGGTTGACATGTTTCCTCCTGGCTTCAAATGTATATATTGAACATAGGACGGCTAAGTTTATAACTAAGACACTGGTCCTATGAACCCAATACATTGAACAATTGGGGCAACATGCAAGGGGGATACATTTAATGATTGTCTCTTTGTATTTACACATTTTTATCTCACAAATGAAGGCGAATACACGTATCCCAGGATAAC